ATTAGTAGACAAATCTTTTAAGAGACAACCTCACAAAAATTGCAGCAGAAGCAGCGGCTAATGGATGGAGAGCAGGTTCAAAATCTTACGCCTGATTTGACCTGAACCCAACCAAGCCCCACCGTTCCGCCAACGAAACGGTCTCTTCTTTCGTTGTCATTTGCAGCCCAGACGCATACAGTCACACACTCACACACATGCACACTTAGATGCACTTGGGATGTCCTAAAATGCGACACATTCTAAATCTGCATGGCTGGTCAAAGGTGTTGGGCAACACAAGCCACCTTTGCCCCACCCCAGCTACACCTCTAGTGCTAGAGTCATCTTTGGCTGCAGCCAATCGAGTGGCTCATAAGAAAACTAGGATGTGGCAGCCCGAGTGGGCATTATGTGCATATTATATATATATATATAGAAATTGGAAGCGAAGTGGGGTGGCAGGTAAATGGCTGGTATTGCATATTGTATTTTCAATTTTATTCTATTCCATTTTATTATATTTTTCACTTGATATATTTATGTATGCAACAAATTTGTTTGCATTCTCCCTTGAGTTGTCACGCACAAAGGCACAAGTAAATTGTTTAATTTGATTTCATTTTGGAGCTCTTGCGTCATGGCCAGGCCAGCTAAATGGGTTTCCATGTGTGTATCTACATATATCTGACCACCCAGAGACACGCCCATGAGTGGGTTTGTGTGCAATGCAAATCTCTGGCCATCAAATGACTCAATATGCGCCTGGGGCTGCCACCGCCCTGCCAATTTTCTACACATTTAATTGCGTTTTATTTTTCAAATATTTATTATTATCGAATATTGAAACGATATCCAAATACGTATGCAGAAGACCAGCCCCACACCAAAGGTTATATGGTATGCTTGCACGTCATGTAAAGACTTATACCTATATGGAGATCAAACAATGATTCCATGGCACGCGATGTGACGTGCCTTTTGACTTTCTACACCACCCCACTTGTCTTTATCCTTATTCTACCAATGGCTTTCATCACGTATTCAAAATATACGCTTCTAATCCTTCGTAGTTTTTTGATTAATAACATACCTAAGGAACATTAAAAAGTGTTAAGAATATTATTGCAATCTATCTCTCAGAGAAAATTCAAGAATTCTGTACTCAAATCAAGAAACGTCAAATTCTGGCTCAGAAAAAGTATACTATTTCGATTATACAAGAACACAAAAACATTATTTTACTATCCGGTAGCTCAGATATTGCGAGTGTACGTATTAAAACATAAAATGTTTGTGAGTTTCTCTGCCTTATTGAATGTGTAGTATAATTTATTTATTTGCTTGTAATATTTTAAGACCTCATTTATAACTTTATTTTAAATTATTTTTACTTATTGTTTTTTAATTCGTGTAACTGAACCGTTTGCCAAATACATATATATTGCTTGCCTGCCTGTAATACAAATCTATATGTACTTATGTGTAAAAAATATATATAAATATACAAATAATAGACTCCCATATCAATGTATACTTAAAAAAATGATTAAGTTAAGACACCCGAATTGGCAATAACTGGACGATCAATGTGTGTGTACGGGTAGTAAAAGCAATTTTAACTGTTAGAACTGAATGTTTTCCCACCAAATTTAAGCACAAAAACCGAGAACAACCAAATTGGCACTCTCTGATAAATAGTAGCGCATTAAAATCGAGATATCTGATAAAATTATATAACAAATATGGTATTGCAAAAAAAAAAAAAGAAAAAAATTGGATTCGAATTGGTAATGCAGTTAGGAGGATTATTCAGTTCTGCTGTTGTGGTTGTTGTTGCTGCTGCAATGCCTGAACGCTGTCAGTGGATGAAAATGTGGTCACACTTGGTCATAGCTACATCCAAACACACCCAAATGCACACACGAACACATACACACATACACTCAACTCATGCAAGCTAAATTGGACAGGACGTATAGAAATGTTGCATCTGCATCATAACGAAATGTTTTACTTTGCCAACTCATTTCTGATTTCCAATTGACTTCCTCTCCCCGCACCGCAACACAACTGTATTCAACTGCAGGTACATTCCTCAGCACACAGCAGGCGACCATCAAACAGGAGGCCATGGATGTTGCTGTTGAGGAGCAGCCGCACGAGGCACACGCAGCGGATCGCCAACCGGCCGCCTGCAAGTTGGCCAAGTTGATGCAGCGACCGCAGCTGGCGCAGCTTTTTGAGCGTCGCAGCAACAACAACAATAATAACAATAATAATAACAATACAATTAGTCACAACAATAACAGTAACAATAATCGTAGCATGTTCAAGAAGAATCGCTCGACAAACTCATCGCCAACACCCTCGGCGCGTTCGTGGAACGACAGCGAGGATGAGCACGAGTACAACCAGGATGAACGGTCCAGCTCAGCGTCGTCGGCTATTTCATTGACTATGAAGCGCTCCTGTCCGGCCAGTGAATCGACGCTCTACCAGACACTGCAACAGCATCAACAGCAGCAGCAGCAACAACAGCAACATCAACTGCAACAGCAACAGCAACAGCAAAGCGAACAATCGTCGCTTCATCGCCCACGCCACGAAGCACAGGCACAGATTAATCAGCAGCAACAACAACAACAGCATCAACAAAAACAGCAACAACAATATCTGGATGAACTGCAGCAGTCCGTTTCCGTATCCCATCAGCAACAGCTGACCGCCAATCTGTTCATGGCGCGCACCATCGCGCTGAGCCGCTCTCGTGATTTTCCTGATATATTCCAAAACACCTCGGCAGCAGCAGTCGCCGCAGCAGCAGCGGCAGCAGCTACTGCAACCGCCTCCGCCACAGCCTCGGCCATAGCCAGCAGTAGTGGAGCCGGTGCCGGCAATGGCGCCAGTGTAGCTGCCGGCAGCAGCAGTAGCAGCAATGCCGGCAGCAACTATATGCTGCCCTGTCCGCTGTGCGAGACGCCGCTGGAGCAGCGTGTCTTCCGCCAGCATCTGGACAGGCACTATCCGCGCGACAGTCCCGTCTGTCCGGTGATCGAGTGCGGACGGCGTTTCGCCCATCCCAATTCGGTGCGCAATCACATGCGTATCAAGCACACGCTGCAGTGGGCCAAAATGAAGGCCATGCGCTCTTCGGGCGGCCCATTCGCAGGCGGTCCCGATTTTAAATTCAAAAGCGAAGCGGCCAACTAGTTAGTGTCGCCCTACGGTACGGAACGGTACCCACATCCAATTCAATATGTCCGCAGATACTCGCATTAGTACGAAACAAAGCTTTCTAGATTGCTGCTTTCAGTCAATGGCGACAATAATGCAAAGCCTAAACTCGGGACACTCGCGCCTATCTTAGATAGCCAAAAAGCCTGTGCCAGGATCGTTACTTAAGCCTGAGCCACTGAACTGTTCCAAAACTATAGCAAGAAATTTGAATATTATCCTATTGTTTCTCTAAAAACGGTTTCATTTTGTATTGCTAGTTAAAAGAAAAATTGCAACTAAGCGCCATTTAAATATAGTCTGGTTTTAAATGTTTAATTTACAAATAGTTTTCCATTAACATTTTTTTCAATTTGGCAAATGGCAACTTGAGCTTAGAACAAAAAATAATCAAAATTTCAAGAGTTTAAGAGCACAGCAAGAAGCCGCCTCCTGAATAAGAATCATTTGAATTTCTTGGCATTGTAAGGGCTTCGACTGGGACTAGGGATTGGGGAGGCTAAGGTCTTCCTTGTGATGACGTTAACGATGCGAAGCTGGCATACAACAATTATTACGTTCCTATATTCAATATAGTATACTATATTTAATAGTACATATTCGTACTTCCACTACTGGGTATGTGCAACTTTATATGTTTAACATACAAAGCTAGAGATACACTGTAAAGAGCCCAAATGATTATGATTATAATAATAATAATAATTCCATATGTAGGGTATACACACTACTATTAACGTTTTGTCACCTATGAGGCGTAGCAGAGCTGCAAGTTAACTGTAATTTAGTGAGGTGTAGAACAATTCAACAATCCAATGATTGAGAACCTACACCCTAGAAGGCGCTTTACGGTACTAGTAACTCGTAACTCCAGTATTATACGTACATAGGAAAAGCAACTACACACAATTTATAGTATATAATATAAGCGTTTTAGCATAAACCGAATTGAAATGGAGATATTTGTAGATAATGAGCTGAATACCAAGCAGAAACAATTATAAATAGTTATTATAATTAATTATAATGATACTACAAAATAGAATGTGCCTGCGTAATATATTTTTAGCCAAAACAATTAATAATAATAATAATAATAAACAAAAATGAATGAAAAGAAAATTTTAAGTTGAAAATTTATACACACACACACACACAGAGACAAGAAAGGAGTTGCAGTTTTATTAGAGAAAATTCAAAAAGAAAAGCTCAAAATTGTCGTTTGAATTATAATTTCGCATAGTATGTGAAGAGCATGAAGCATAGATAGAGAGAGCTGGCGAAAACGAGAGAGCGAAAACATACGTAAAAAGGTTCCTATAATGTTAATCAAAAAGCAAAACCAAAAAAAAAATTTCAAAAAAATTAAAACTTGACTACACTGCGAGTTTTATTTAAATACAAAAATTAAGCGATCAAAATCGATCGTTGCGGTATAATTAATATTATTATCCATTTCGACACGGACAATTTTACAGTTGTATAGCCCATAATGAATATATATACATTTATTTATAAATATATATATATTTATTTATATTAACTCGTATTAACCTTAATATATTATTTATAAATATTTTAGTTGGCTAATTGTTTGAAATACGTAGCTCCTAATAATGTATCTTCAATTTATGTACGACTGGATGAGACAATTATGTTTTGGTTAATAATAAAGAGCAATCGATGAAAAGTTAAGCGAATCGATATATAATTCTTAAAGAGCTGCACAGATTGTGAACTGTTTTGCTAATGATTATTAATTAATTTTTCAATTTATCCTACAGTTTCGCGTCGTTCCTTGGAAATGCGTGTCCGTGCTACAGATCCGAGGCCATGCCCGAAATGTGGCAAAATCTACCGCTCGGCACACACGCTGCGTACCCACCTGGAGGACAAGCACACCGTCTGTCCCGGCTATCGTTGCGTGCTTTGTGGAACGGTGGCCAAGTCGCGAAACTCGCTACACTCGCATATGTCTCGCCAGCATCGCGGCATTTCCACAAAGGATCTTCCCGTGCTGCCTATGCCCAGCGCCTTCGACCCAGATCTCGCCTCGCGTCTGCTGGCCAAGGCCGGCGTTAAGATTTCACCCGCTGAGCTGCGCGCCCGCGCCTCACCCACTGGTGGTAGCGGCAGCAGCGGCGGTGCTGGTAACGGCGGCAATGGCTCACAAAAGCTAGACCTGAGCAATGCCAGCGGCGGACCGCTGGACGATGCTGACGACTCCGACGATGACCCCGAAGATCTGACCACCGGCAGTGTACTCTATGGCAACAACGCCAATGATCTAAGCCGCTACCATGAAAGTTTACTTAGCAATTTTGGACATGCCAATACAACCATTTCACGCATGCGAAATGAAGCTGCCGCGGCAGCAGCTGCAGCGGCCGCCTTGGGCCAACAAAAAGACCTGAGCGCTGGAGCCGGTGGGGTTCAACTGCCCAACAACAGCAATGCAGGCCAGTCGTTGCTAGACACCTATCTGCAGTTCATCACTGAGAATACGTTCGGTAAGCCACACCAACATTGAGCCCCACATATATTTTGTACTAATCTCTTTCTACTTGTCTGCTGCAGGCATGGGCATGTCGCAGGAGCACGCAGCTGCAGCCGCCCTGCATGCCGCTAAAATGGCACAGTTAAATGCAATGGGTCACAGCCTGGACAAATTGCCGGCGGGCTTGCTGCCTGCTCAGTTTGATCTGAGCAAGCTGGCGGGTGCTGGGGCAGCAGGCGGCTTTGCTCAGAGCGGTGGTGGACTGTCCATTGAACCGATTCTGAGACGCGACCAGCAGCATCCGGCGAGCAGCCGCTCACCTGATGCGAACGGAGCGCTAGCACTCGGCTCGGTGGGTCACATGCACTCGAACTTGGTCGGTGCTGGCGGTGGCGGTGGTGGTGGCGAGCCGAATGATGTGGATGTGGATGCTGAGGCTGAGATTAGACGCGATGGCTCAGAGCCAATGGATTTGGGCCTGGGCCTAGAAAACAATCAGTCGGGCAGCAACAACGAGGCAGCTAACTCGGATGCCGAGGAGAATTACTCAGAGGATGAGGGCGTGCACCACACATAAGCTAGAGGCAATTCACACTTAAATAGGGGTTCGTTTATAAGAGAGCAAAAGATATAACGATATAATATACGATGATACGATATTCGCATGTCGTTTTGAAAAGTCGTCGTCAACAGTTGTATACCCAGAAAATGGAACATTTGTAACGAGTAGCCTTATCCTCATGTATACCAGTTTACGTGTACAATACATGCATACTATAGTTATCTAGGACTAGAAACCAATCATGAAATAATATCATGTGCAGCGTTTAAAAATTTTAGTAGAATTTATGTTGTTTTTAAAAATCGCAAAAAAAAAAAAACAAAAAACAAAAAAGAAAGGCAAATACAACCTACATAACTACCTAAACCAATACTCGTATGCGAGTTGGAATAGGGCAAAAAGCATGAATACTTACATACATATAAATACATACTTATCCTATATACTATATACATCTATATACACATGTACCTGTTATGTGTATACATGAAGTTTAGGAATGCAAGAACCAAGATAGTTTCAAATCATTGAAGAACTTAAACTCCAAAATACCTAAAGCTAAACTTAAACCTAGACCTAGGCATATAAATTAGTGTTAGCAATTTGAAATGAGTAACCAATTCTGTAAATAGTTTATTAAATGTAGTAAGAGATACGCACCCGCAATGTGGATAAAAAACAAAAGCAAGCAACTAAGCATTTAAACGGACTACACAAATACTCCAATTGAATACTCTTTTAAGGGCTTTCTTGACACAAAAACAAATATCCATCTCAGTTTGAAATCTCTATATGTGTGCTATTGTGAACAACAAAGAAACAATTCAGATGTGCCATGTCACAGTTAGAGCTTACTGACCATTCAAGTCGCCTACATATATTGATAATGCTAACCATATCTCAGGAATACACGTGGATGACATTACGCGCTGCCGCAACAAAACAGCCGGAAAAACCAAACTACCTCAGCAAAAGAATTGTGTAACCCATGTACTCACTACTCGTAATATCTTCCAGTTAAATATATAACTATTTTCTGTATGGCCGTACTTGCTTATACATATATAACTTTCATAGCAGATAGATCTGCCTAGTTTAAGGGTCTCCATTGGGATGGGTGCGAAAACTCAGCCAATTCGAATATGCATAGCCGTAAGTGAGTCGAAAGATTTCATAAATTCGCCAAGCAAAGTAAATTGATTATTATTTAACCACAACTATGCGATAATGTACAAGCAAGAGTAAAAAAATACACCAAATTGATATGCATCTACATATGCATAAATGCTTAGCTATAATTACAAGTAAATTTGTTTGTTTTGGGCAAAATGTAATAGAATCAAAAACTTCAGACAAACATAACAATCCCACTTCACGCCTAAATTAAAAGGTTTCTTTTCACCTGCTTAAAAATGGCGTACTTTAATCTTCGTCATGTCAATATGTCCGATTTTCTGCATGTACATTCAGTTTGAGTAATCCGCGTTTATCTTAGGTTTATTGTTAGTTTCAAAATCTCTACAAGAGTTGAAACGATGCCTTATTACAACATAGATATGTGTTAATTTAGTAATTTTCTACCTCAGTTAATTTAAATGTAATTTACTTGCATATTATTTAAGCGCGAAATTTCGGGTATATATTGTCCTAATTTAATTGTGTTTATTGAACAAAACTTCGGAAACAATTAATCGCGAGTCATCTAACATTCATGAATATGAAAATGCGTAGAAATAAATGTTACTTATAAATAAAGAAATATTGTAAGTAATGACAAGTATATGTTAAATTTGTTTATTATCTTCCTGTTTCGCAATGTGATGCCTATGTTTCATTTGAACACGTTTAATAGCGTCAGTTGCTTTTATTTGGCTTCATTTAAACAGGCCGAGTGCAAATTTTGCATTTGTATAATTCGGATAAGAATTTATGGCAACGCACACATACACACACACACACACACACACAATGCAGTTAAGTCGCTAGAATAAAATGAGTTAGATAAATACAAGTTACATAAGCAATTTAAGTAGAGATCCATGTGCTTAGAAGGTTATTAATATTTATTAAAATTACAATAAATCTGCGTTATAAAGAACAACAAATGGTGTTTCATTTTTCAGAATGCATTCAAAAAATATTCATTTAACGTAACGGACCGATCGAGCCAATCGGTTCGCCAGCCCTGAATTATCGATTCATTATATATGCAGCTGTTCGATAACATAAGATTCTTCAAAAGAGATATCGATTGAACCAATGACGCCTGATAGATCGCTGATTGGCGTAGTTAGAAGAAGAAGCACCGCGAAGCGCCATTGTTTTCGAAATAAACTGTAAATGTTTTGTGCAAACTATTATTCCTGTCGTTAAGTGTCGTTCTCCATTTTAATAATTGTTACCTGTACTTTGTTGAAATGTCTGCAAAGAGCGCCTTACAAGTCTGCATCAAGGTGCGACCCTGCGAACAAGGCCAAACCACATTGTGGCAAGTGAAGGACCGGCGAGCCATTCAACTCATCGACAGCCAGGCTGATCCCTTTGTGTTTGGTAAGTACGAGCAGGAGGAACCAAGGACTGACTACTGTCGATGATGGCCGTTGAACTCGTTTTTCATTTTAATATTTTGCAGATTATGTTTTCGATCAGGAATCAAATAATCAAACTGTATTCGATTGCATGGCCAAGCACATCGTGGAAGCCTGCATGAAGGGCTTTAATGGAACCATTTTCGCTTACGGCCAAACATCGTCGGGCAAAACATACACCATGATGGGCGACGAAGCCAATCCGGGCGTCATGGTACTGGCAGCAAAGGAAATATTCAAGCAGATTGCCCGGCACAACGATCGGGACTTTTTGCTACGGGTTGGTTACATAGAAATTTACAACGAGAAAATCTATGACTTACTGAACAAGAAGAATCAAGACCTAAAGATACATGAAAGCAACGGCATGGTTCATGTCAATTGCGAGGAGTGCATCATTACCAGCGAGGAGGATCTGCTGCAGTTCCTCTGCATGGGCAACAAAGAGCGCACTGTGGCGGAAACCCAAATGAACGAGCGCTCAAGTCGTTCGCATGCCATATTTCGCATTGTAAGCTTATTTGAATATACAATCCCTACATTTAGATTCATGTTCCTGATCCGCAGATAATCGAATCGCGCAAAACGGATCGTAACGACGACGATGCTGTTATTCAAAGCCTGCTAAATCTGGTGGATTTGGCAGGCTCGGAGCGAGCCGATCAGACGGGTGCGCGTGGGGCACGTCTTAAGGAAGGCGGGCACATAAATAAGAGTCTGCATTTTCTAAGCAACGTGATCAAGAGCTTGGCTGAGAACGAGGAAAACAAATACGTCAACTTCCGCGATTCAAAGCTGACCCGTATATTGCAGGCGTCTCTGGGAGGAAATGCCTTTACCTCTATTATATGTAGCATTAAGCCATCAATAATGGAAGAATCTCAATCGACATTGAATTTCGCCATGCGTGCGAAGAAAATACGTTTAAAACCACAATTGAATGAAATTGTATCGGATGCGACCATGATGAAGCGTCTGGAGCGCGAAATAAAGGAGCTCAAAGATCGTTTGGCTGAAGAACAGCGCAGAAACGAGAGCCAGATAAAAGTTCACTTGTTGGAGCAAAGAATCAAAATGGACTCGTTGAAAATAATTACCAGTAACACAATTGCGGATAAGCGTAATAAGAATCGGCGACGCACTTGGTGTCCAGCCACATCAAATCCGGAGCCAGCGCACATTGATGAGGCGCATGCTTTCAATTCAAATGGATCGGGCGGCTCAAATGGTCAGCACAAGCACTCGGGTCTCCCTAAACCAAGCTTCTACCCGTCGACTTCTTATATGAAACACCAGCCCTTTAACGCGCCTAAGACTGTGAACATTATGAAATCACTTGAGATAACAGAGGATGAATTCAAACCGGCCGTTGACTACAACTTTGGAGATGTGCCAGACGCGATGCTTACGAGCCGTATCCTGCCACCACTAACCTTAACGCCACGCGTGGCTCAAACTGGCGATCAAGGGTAAGTGTAGCAACGTCAACAGGTAATTCCTGTATATCAAAAAGATCAGCAAATCATTTTCATTCATGCTTTCATGACAATCACAACCAAATGCATGCTCTCATTTGCTTTCACCACGCACAAATTCCATGTATAGTAAGCAAATGATTGAACGTGATCTGGTAGAGCTGACAACGTTCGAGAAGCTAGAACAGAACATTAATTTAGAGTGGGAAAGTCTAAACCAAAACTATGTTGCGGCTACAGCTCAAGTTGACGAGCTTCAGTCCGAGCGGCTAATTCTGATGCAGCGGTGAGTGTACTTAACATAAGAAATTACTTGTCTTCGAATGGGCTTTGGTAACTTTTTAACCAAGTTATCTGATCAATTATAATTATTGTTCATAACTAAGTAAATTTATGTCATAGCCTTCAGTTGCAGTAACAAATGGGTTACTTCCATTCAAATTGTTTTTTTTTTTTATCAACATCTTGTCAATCCCGCAATTTGCGGTTCGTTTGCAATTTGAAAGTAAGTTCACCACTTCAGGTGCGCGTGAAAAAGCACAAACTCAAACTCAACTCGTGGTGGGCTTTTGTAAGATCTCTTCTATTTCGTAGCGTCGTCTTTCTGCATCAGTCGCCGTGAACGACGTGAGCAAGTAGCATGCGCGAGCTCAAAGCTGGAAGATAAACAAATGCTTATAACCCACTCACACAATATTGTTGTGCGCTTTGTTTTGATAGCGCTGGAATACATAGGTAATGGCAGCCAGTTTCGCGAATAATTTCGGCCCTGACGTCTGACGCTCTGCGATGGCAACGGCGAGTGTGATAAGCAAACGATCTTAAATCCATTTGACGACGTCGTCGATAAAATGCTGCTCTATAATATGTACCCATAAGTTGAGTTTATTTTGAACTTCGCTGTCCAAGAGCCCACACAGTTCCGCGCCGCCGCACCTTCTGTTCGCCTGCGTCGGTCGATGACGTCTTCAGTTGATTTACCTACTCTATTCCCAGTTCTCGAAACGTGACTCTGATGTAACTCTCAATTAAATTGGGCTACAATCGAACGAGTGTGTGAGTAGAAACTACACGAATAAAAGCGATTGCAATAGCGCAGCGAATATCTTTAAGTTTGTAAATACTCGTGTACGCAAATGTGTGTGAGTGTTGCGTGTGTCTATTTGTTATAGCTGCGACCTCAGCTGGAACACTGTCTGTCAGTGTCTGCAGCTGCAGTCTCTATTTTTAGGGAGCTCGCTATAATTAATTGTCTAAATGCTGGTTCCGTAAAAGTTGGACCCGATTGCAACTATTCCTTATGCTGTGCATTTCTCATAAGCCTAAAACTATTTATAGATAATATAATCAATGTAAGCAAGTATTGACTGTCGCTATTGGTTTATAAAAAGTTTTCATTTTAACATAATAAATAACTACACATTTTTTATTTACCCCAATTTTATTGAAAACAAGCCAGAAGACATAAATAATTGCTGCTGCTTGAAGCAAACTATGTATGTGGAATGTTGGGTTTGAGAACTAAATACAAAATTCGTACATGCGTGCATAAATACCACAGCATATACAATCCAGTAATATTTTGATTATTTTTGCCTTTTACAGTTGTGAAACCCTTCAGGCCGAAGTAGATGCTCTTGGCAAGTCAAAGCAAACAGCTGATACAAAAATAGAGGCATACGAAGAGGAGCTGAAGTTGCTGAAGCAAACGATTGAAAGGCTGGAGATGGAAAATCGTTCTGCTGTCGATTTGGAATTTCAGTTTGAAACCCATAAAACTAAATCAAAGCTCCGAGAGAATGAGCTACTATCGGTGCTCTCCGAAAAGGATGACGCCATTGTCAACTTGGAAAAGACGCTCAAGGAATTGTCCAAGGATGTGCTGCGCAACAGTAAGGAGGATCAAATGCGTTCCATGTGTCCCGATCTTGAAACCAGCTGCGAGCGTATCTGTGATAAGTGTATAGACCTGGAATGCCTGTTGCAGGAGTACAAGAAGGCGTCACCCAATGGTGACGCTGCGCAGTCCATTGACTGTAAATGCGAGCAACTGCGTTCAGAAATCGCCAACACGCGTGCACAGCTGGAGAGCGTGCAGAACGCCTACAAGCAGATGACTAGTGATATGGCTGAAAAGTCGGAGCTGTACGACCGTCTGAGCCGCGATGTTATTGCTGCTGAGGAAACCAAGGGTTTGCTGCAGGAGAAATGCGACGATCTGGAGAACGCGCAACAGCGCCACGATCAAATCATACAAAGCATGCAGGCGGAGTATGATGCCATACAAGAAAAGTACAAGAAACTGCAGCAAGATTATGAGACTCTTGAGCGCACATCAGCAGCCACGGAGGATCAACATAAGAAGCTGCAAAGCCAAAATGTTAGCTTGCAGCAAGAAATCACCACATTAAAGGAATCTTTCGAGCAGATACAACAAACGCTCATGCAGACGACAAATTCAGATAGCAACGAGAAGGCAACGATTGTCGAGCAATTGAAGGCGCACAATGAGGAGCTCGTGGAGAAGCTGGCTCAATTGGAGGCCAAATATGGTGAGATGCAACGCGAATACGAGGTTTTGTCCATTCAGTTGATTGAGAGCATGCAAGACGGTGATAGCTTGCGGGATCAGTGCAGCGCGCTGCAAGAGGAACTGCAGCAGCAACAGGTGGCAACAAAAAGCGCAGAAGAAAACGAGCAGAGAACACAACAGCTGCTTGCACATATTGCTAGGCTAGAAAGTGAAGTTACCGAGAAAAATGCGCTTATAGATGCCACCGAAGGCACAATTAACGAGATGCGTGAACAAATGACTAATTTGGAGTCGGCGCTACTGGAAAAGTCAGTGATAGTCAACAAAGTGGAGGACTATCAGCGGCAAATCGAATCGCTCGAGAAGCAGCACGCCGAAATGACTATGGTCTGCGAGGAGTTGCAGGAGAAGGTCAAAGAGAACACCATCAATGAGAGTCTGCTCATGTCCAATAGTACACAAACTCTGATGAGCGACGACAGCATGCCACAACAAGAAATAGATGCGCTTAAAACCAGATTGTCTGATTTGAATGCAGAACTCAATGGGCTGCAGGCGCAAATTCAGCAAAAGGATGACTTAATCGAAAAGATTCAGTCCGAGCTACAGGAGTTAAATGAACGCTGCATGTCTATGGATGTGCTGCAAGTGGAGCTGCGAGCGAATGCCCGGCAAAACCAACAGCTTCTTGATAGACAGGCTTCCAAGCTGACGGATGATGCGAATCGAATCGATAAACTCCAGGAATCCAATGCGCAGTTGCTGGAACGTAGCATCAAGGCTGAGGAAATGGTTGAAATCTATAAACAGCGTCTTTCGTTGGCGGCAGAAGTAGAGTGCTCCAAGGAGCAATACGAGAAACGTCTCAACGATTTGCAAATCGCATTTGACAATGCCAAGAAGGAGTTCGAGTTGAAGGAGAAGCAAAATAAAGATTACCTTAACAATGTCAAGCTCGAGTACTTACAGAAAATTGAGATAAGCGAGACTGAGTATCGAGGCAATATGCGCAAATACAATATTGAATGGGAGGAAAGCAAGGATCGCTACGAAACCATTTTAGAAAAGCTGCAAAAGCAATTGTCCTCGTCCGAGGAGCGTTGCAACAAACTGTGTGCAGACAATGAGTCGGAGCTGTTATCTGTCAAAGCAGCAAATGAACAATTGGTTAAAGAAAAACACGAACTGGAATCATTATATGACGAAAGCCAAAAGCTAGTGCAGCAGATACAAGCTAAATTGAACAACAAGCAACAGGACGAGGAGAAAGATCACGAAATGGTAACGTCTGCGAATCACAAGTTCCAAGAGCTGCATAAGAAATACGAGACGCAAGTGCAGGAGTACAAAGAGCTCAAGAGCAAGCATGAGCTAAGCTTGGATTGTCTTAAGCAAGAGAAGAGCTCATTACAGTTGGCCGTTGATGAAAGCAAACTGACAATAAAACACTTAACTAATGACCTACAAGCAGAGCAGCAGAAGTGGCAAAAGCAAGTGAGCTTGGTGCAACAGTTTGGCGTTGAACTAGGAGCCAATGCTGCTGAGAAAGCTGAATATTTGGAAAAAGTGCAAACTTTGAATAACAAGATTGAGGATCTGGCAGAAAAGTTAAAGCAGGCAACACTCAAGGCTGTAGATTTTGATAAGCTTGTGGTCGATCATACACAAGTCAAATTGCTTCTTTCCGAAGCAAACGATCTCAATAAGAACTTGGCCCAGAAAGTGGAAAATCTCGAAAGCGAATTGTTGCAGGCTCAAACTGAGTTAACAGCACAGCGGGCTACAATTCAACAACTACAATCAGAATTGGAGGCAACCTTGCTACTCAAGAGCAGCGCCTGCTCCGAGCAGTCCAGCTTGACAGACAAGCTAAAAGAACTGGAGGCAACAATACTCGAACAGGCTCACCAATTTGAACAGAATTTGAATGAGTTACAAGGCTCAAAGAACGAGCTACAGTTAAAGCTGGACTCATTGCTGTCTCAAAAAGTGGAGCTGGAAGAAACAAACCACAAGCTCACAGTCAAACTGAAGAATGTGTTGAACTTGCAAAATCTTTTGGAAAAGGAACGTGAACACAATGCCCAACTCCAAAAGAGCAATGCTGAACTGCAATCCAAGCTAGAAGACAAGGAAACCACTTCTGAGACTCTGAGCGCAGCCTTGCAGCAACAGAAAGTGGCTTCTGCTCAATTAGAGAATCGCCTAGCAGCAGCTACCACGGAAGCCAATAGAAATGCCGACGAACTGCGAAATCAAATTGAAAAGTTGCAAAAGGAAGTTGATAGACTATGCTCTGTAGTGGTGGGTAACCATAAAATAAATATATTTTTATACGCATATCTAATAATCGTGCTTACAGAAAACCAACAAGGCCAACTTCGATGCTGAACGAAACCGGCTTCATGGTACAATTTCGAGTCTCCTGGAAGATAAACGGAACTTGGAGGAAAAACTATGCACGACCAATGAGATACTCAAGAAGGTGGAGACCGATTTAAGGAACAGCAATAATTCGTTTGAATCAAATGCTTCGAATACTTCGCCACTTGCCAGAAAAAGTCTGGATCGTGATCCTAACCAGCCTAGGGTAGGTTCTTTGGTAAAGCTTCCAATTACCCAAATCATTTCTAATTGCTTAACTTTTCCAATAGAAATCCTTAAGCTTGGAGTCTGAGGTGCGAAGAAATCGAAGAATAAGCACACACGACGAGCGGCGTCGTCAGTCTTATTGGAATGATACGCGACATGTGTCATGCATGACAGATCCCGTAGGTGGGTACAAAAACTAGCAATTACTTTAACCCAAGTTAATCAATTAATAATACTTCACACTTAGATGATAATTGTAACTGTGCTGAGCTCGATCGGAAGCTGCAGGATTGCCAACGTGAGCTGTTCATACGGGAGAGCATGGTGACTGCATTGAACTTTGAATTAAAGAACCATCCGCTCAAGGAGGAGACAGCAATATTAAAAAGACGTATCCAGGAGGAGCAGGCCAAGGCGCGTGATGAAATCAAGCGCTTGAAGCAAAAGAACCTAGATCTTATGAACAAGGTGCAAACATATACAGCAGCTGCAGCCATCTCAGCCAGTGCCCATCCCGCAAGCACAGTTTCAACCAAGCAAACAACTGTTGAGACGCAAACGGATTCCAACTTGGAGACGATTATAAGAAAAACCGATGAGAAATACAATGACTGTTTGCAGCTGTGTCGCTATCGTTATAATAAAATTAAAGAATTGGAGAGAGAGTTGAATGAAAACAACAACAACATTTCTTCCCAGACAGCTGGTCAAATTATTGCACTTAAGGTATGTTTCTTCACGTGTCAAATTCAAATCAGCCTTAATACAAATTTGTTATGATTCCAGTCTCAATTGGAGTCGCAGAAGAAAGAAATTCGTACCCTCACCAATAAATATGAATTCGCCAAAAGAGCACTTAAAATGCGCCGAGATGAAAATAATGAGCTGCGGCAAATCGCTGGCACCGACGTTCCAGCATCCTCTAAATAAGTCAACCTGTTTTTTGTAGCGTTTAGTGACTAAGTGATGTGTATATATATATATATTTAATTGTGTTTATTAAAGCTTTTAAATTTCAAAATGAATATAGAATAGAAAGAGGCAAGAGCGGGAGAGCCACATCGATATTCTAGCATTCATTAATTTGCCTTCAACATAATAGTGACATAATTTAAACAAATTTATTAGGCGCGCATGTCTAGCATTATTTCCAAGTAAACACATCTCGACTGAGAAGCAGATGTGCCTGCTGGATGGAAGCCAGGAGAGCCACAGCCGGCTCCCATCGATATTCTAGCATTCATTAATTTGCCTTCAACATGATAGGGACATAATTTAAACAAATTTATTAGGCGCGCATGTCTAGCATTATTTCCAAGTAAACACATCTCGACTGCGATGCGGATGTGCCTGATGGAAACACTGAAAAGCGATGTGTAAATAGTAGCGATAACAAATGCGATTCATTTCGAGTTCAAGGGTTGCAGTGATAAGATATCGAGCGTCTATCGTTCGCCCACCACACGTATATTAAATCTTGTATTAAAAAAAGTTATTCTGCTTAAGTGGGCCATGAATTCGGCAACAAAGGTATGTTTAAAGCAGTCGCAGCTAATTGGTTGCGTCTCAAGCGGCTTTCGGAATCATAAAGCGGCATTTTATTTGTTCGGAAAATTGGCGGCTGTGCGTCTCTGTCAGTTCGTCTCACTCCTTCGGCAACGAATGATAGCGAAATTTGTTTGCTTTATGGGGCGAGAAGGCGCGTTTGTTTTGAATTTGCAACGCATGCAAGCACGAACAACAGCTGCCACAAATGCATCTAAAATTTTGTCCAATTGTCTGCGCAGGTTGGGGAGATTTTCACGGCAGCGGGTCAAGCATTCAGCAGGCTCGGCGATTTGACAATGCAATTACATCCAAATGCGGAATCTCCGTCCGGGTAAGTGAGAGTCGGCTGCAATAACGTAGGAGAATCGGCGCTAATAAACCCCAAACTGATTTCATGTTCCCTCGCTATGCCACGCGCACAGTAAATGGACAGACGAGGAAATCGACATGTTACACTCGTCCATAATGCGCTTCTCGGACGATCTGAGTAAAATCAGTCTAAGCATTAAAAATCGCACAGTGTAAGTCAAAACATAGCGAGAGAACATGACCTAGCCTAGCACAGTTGTTCAAGCAGAATCTTTGCTTTCTCCTTGCAGCTCCCAAATTAGACAAGCTCTAAAGAAGAAGGCGTTCGAGGATGCTGGTATACCGGCAAAACAGGTGCCCGTTCAGCAGGTGCAACACGTCATACAAACAGTTCAGCAATTGCCCATTGTCCAGCAACATCACGTATTCAAGTCACACATCATACAACAACAGCCGCAGCCGCAGCAGCAAACCAAGCAGATCATATTGCAGCCACAGACAACAACGACAACTGTCACTATCAAACAGTTTCAGCAAATGCAGCAGCAGAAGGCCGCTGCCCTGGCTGCTGCACAGGCAGCTGCAGCTGCCAATGCGCCAACCATCACAGAAAACATCATCATACAGCAACCCACATCAACGACAGCCGTGGCGGTGCAACAGCCGCAGCAACAGCAGCAGCAACCACACGCAGTCGTGGCAACGTCTGCGACACAACAGATTATTGTGCCTGCCGCCACCACAGTATTGTCGCCAAGTGCAGCAGTTGGCGCCGTTGTGGTTGCCGACGATGTTGTCAGCACAACATCCACACCAACAACAGCAACAAATGCGGGCCTGAAGTGTGGGCCCGATGTATCGATGACCCTTAATCGGATCAACGTGCAGGAGAATGAGGTCGACGTTGAGGAGTGCCTTCCCGCGGAGGTTGTCAAGCTGGACTTTGTCAGCGAGGAGGTGGCAGGGTGAAGTTTGCTCGCAGCCAATGCTGAAGCATCGCCCGGCCTGGTCGAGGACTTCTATTACTAGTAATAATGTTAAAACAGCTCCAGAATTACATAAAAGTAAATCCCTTATATGGCAGACCACACTGGCCTCAACTGTTAAATGTTTTCAAATTTGATATACCTTCTATTTAACTCTGAAATCGTAATTTAATGACGCATTGTAAAAGTGAAAGCATAATGTCTAAACTGCCACGAAATGTTTAGATGAGTTTTCTTGTATGAAAATGTAACAATAGAGACATGTATTAAATTGTTTGCTGCACCTAGATCTAAATTTAAGAAGAGATTCAATAGTGCAAAGTACATAAATTTCTTGTAAGTTGAATGAAATGAATAAATGAGCATAACAATAACTTACAACTTTTCATATGATCGAATGAAAATTATTGAATTACTTTTTTATTAGCAGAAAGCCTGATTAATAACGTAATGCGTGGTTATTTCTAATCTCTCAGATGCACAACATATGTGATATTTAAACTACAGATGATATATAATAAGAAACACTAGCTAGATTGCAAGTTATATTATCACGGTTTATATATTGCCCTTGGAAACAATTGAAATTTTGCTTGCAATCTGAGCTGCATACCAATTTTGGTTTGATACAGTTGGCTAACATAAAATATATATGCTCCTCCGTTAACAGTATGTTAATGTTGCTCCACAGTTAACAGCATGTTTACGTGCGTATGTAAATAAAATAATTGCAGTGTGTTTAGACGCATATTATTTGCAGAGCAAAAATGAGGATAAAGTACTTGCTAATAGTGTGCATGTACTTTATTGGATCTCTGGCATACAGACCAGTAGTAATAATCCATGGTATACTGTCGGGAGCCGAATCTATGACACTTCTGGTGCGACATATCGAGAAGGTAAGTGGGACTTTTCTTTGTTATTGTTTATGCCCCCTATGGCGAGTTCAAAGTCAACCCGACAACGCAATAAAAGATTTCCTGAATTTTCTTTTTTCTATTTAGCTGCATCCGGGTACAGTTGTGTACAATTGTGATAAGTTCAGTGGTTGGTCCAGCCTGGAGAATGCCTGGTGGCAAGTGGAACAGATCAGGGACTACATAGGTAAGCGAACGTACCATTAAAACAGTTCTATTTATTGATTTGTTTTACCTTAGGCCAAATCGGAAAGCTACATCCAGAAGGGATCATCGTCCTAGGTTTGTTTTCATTAGATATGTATATATAAATATATGTATAAGTGCATTTTTAATACTGCACAGGCTACTCTCAAGGAGGACTCTTGGCAAGGGCGGCAATACAAAGTCTACCCAATCACAATGTGAAAACCTTTATATCGTTATCATCACCCCAAGCGGGTCAATACGGAAGTATATAAACATTAACCAATTTAAACATATATGGGATCAGTTATTAGATATACTGAGTTGTCTTATCTTTACAGCTAGTTTCTTGCACCTAATCTTTCCGGATCTTGCGGCGAAGACGGCCTTTGAACTATTTTACTCTAGGGTGGGTCAACACACATCCGTGGGTGGCTACTGGAACGACCCGCATAAGCAAGAATTATACATGAAATATAGTGAATTCTTGCCATTGATTAATAATGAGAAGATGAGCTCCAATTCAACAACTTTTAAAATGGGCATGGAACGGCTTAATAAACTAGTTCTAATCGGAGGACCCAATGATGACGTTATTACGCCTTGGCAGTCCAGGTAAGATATTTGATATGATTAACATAGTGAACCATAGTGAATCATTTGATTTTCAGCCATTTTAGCTATTTTAATGAATCATTGGATGTGGTCCCGTTTTATAAGCGAACAATATACATGAATAACTCCATCGGCCTGAAAACCTTGTTGGAAGACGAACGACTTATTATTATTGTCAAGCCCAATGTACATCATCTCTCGTGGCACACCAACAAGAGAGTTATCAATGAGGTTATAATGCCATATCTGGATTGAACAGATTTATCTAAAGCGAGCAGAAGGCTGTGATTGGAATGGTTAAACATTCAATTTTGAACTGATACGAATAAGAGTGCACAATACACCGTACAGGTGTATATGACCTAAAAGCTGTATACTGTCCGCTTTCTTAGAACAATTGACTACTTAAATATGGGGTTCTTATTGTAACAAATAGCAAATATTTTGAATGGTATACGCAATATTTTACTGGAGATTAAGACTACAATCGAATAAATAATGTTTCGACGAAAGAAAGTTTATATTTTTGTATTCAAAGTGCTACATTAATATTAAAGGGACATTAACTGATTGGAATCATTTGATTGTATTAATATATGTATATAGGCGAAAAAGAAACGGTACTTACATACATACGCAGATGCCGTTAGTTGCGCGCGCTTTAGCATTTAAAGACATTGCTTTTGAATGATTAAACGCACTTGTCATAAACATTTTTTTTATTGAATGCAAACACTACACTACACAAGCACACACCAAAAAAAATTAAAAGAAAAATGCGAGTGGAGCTCTCTTTTTAATTTAAGAAGCGCTACCGTACCGAAGAAGCCATTTTTTTCTTGCGAATTGCGCGCTTTAGAACTTCACGCCAAACAAACTACTGCATATACATATCACTTTTGAATGATTTAACTTAATTGTCATTAATAAATTTGTAGTGCAATTGAATGCAAACACAACACTAAATACACTAAACAATCACACGAAAAAAAAATTTAAAAAAAAAGGCAAATTGTTCACGGAGCTCCCTCCAAATTTAAGCAGCGCTGCCGTACTTTGTATGAACGAACCATTTTTTTTTTGCAAATTGCGCGCGCTTAAGAATTCCACGCCGTACCGACTACTACATATATTGCTTTTGAATGATTAAACTTATTTTGAATAAAAAACATTTTGCGAAATTGAATGCAAACAGCCGCTATATAAGCACACGAAAAAAAATTAAAAAAAAAGGCAAATTGTTCACGGAGCTCCCTCCAAATTTAAGCAGCGCTGCCGTACTTTGTATGAACGAACCATTTTTTTTTGCAAATTGCGCGCGCTTAAGAATTTCACGACATACCAGCTACTGCATATATTGCTTTTGAATGATTTAACTTATTTTGCATTAAAAACATTTTGCGAAACTGAATGCAAATATCAGCTATTTAAGCACACGAAAAAAAATGTAAAAAAAGGCAAATTGTGGATGGAGCTCCCTCCAAGTTTAAGCAGCGCTGCCGTACTTTGTATGAAGAAGCCATCTTATGCGTTGCTAACTGCGCGCGCTTAAGAATTCCACGCCGTACCGACTACTACATATGTACATATATTGCTTTTGAATGATTAAACTTATTTTTCACTAATACATTTTATTGGTATTCAGTGCAGACACAACACTGAATACAAACTACACAAAAAACACACGAACAAAATAAAAAAAAAAATATATACGCTGTAGAGCAGCCTCCATAATTTAAGAAGCGCTGCCGTACGTTGTATGCACTATTTTTTTTTTTTTTGCAAATTGCGCGCGCTTAGAACTTTACGACAAATTAACTACTAAATTTATGTTTCCGTAATACACTTCAGACAAATTGAAACAGACACAGCAATAAGTTTATATTTATGAATTGTGAAGTTAACTTTAAACACAACACTTAATATAAGCTACATACTTAATTCACGAAGAATGCATTAGTGCAGTTCACGTTTGACCAGATCATATTAAAATGTAACCAGCGTTGCCATACTTTGTGTTTGTGAACAAGCCATTTGTTCTCTGCTAAGTGCGCGCGGTTTCCTTTTTGCCTCTAAGCAATTAAATTGGCATATTGGTTGTATACGAATGGAAGTGGTTTTAATTAATAAATAATAGTGAAATGAATTAAAAGCACAACTTTTTATCGAAGGAACATTATCTACACATTTAAACAATTCACTAAGCCTGGATTAGTTGCACCTCTGCATTGAGCAGCGTTGCCATGCTTTAATTTGTGAAAAATCAGCGCTGTTATTTGGTAGTCGATCAGAACGCTGCATCACGCGCAACAGTTGTAATAATTTTATTTTTGAGTGTCTTTTAATAACTATATTTTAAAAATAACAAATATGGCAGACACACCATAAATGACAATATTTAAACATTAACAATTGTCCATTAAAGTAAAATACATTGCTTAATCAACGCAATTTCTGAAGGGAAAAAGTTGATTCGCGGTAAAACGGTAAAATTATGTCAGGCAGCGCGCGCAGTTACTGTAATATTTGTGTTGGTGAAGTGTTTACGCGGCTCGTGTCGTACGTTACACGACTGCGCCCCTCGGTCGGTTGGGCGGGAGGTGGGATGCAGCCCATTGCATCGGGATTCGCGCGAAAAAAAAAAAATTAAAAAAAATCTTATCCGTTATAAAGTGTAATATTCGTGTTGGTGAAGTGTCTACGCGGCTCGTGTCGTACGTTATACGACTGCGCCCCTCGGTCGGTTGGGCGGGAGGTGGGATGCAGCCCATTGCATCGGGATTCGCGCAAAAAAAAATTTGTAAGAAATCTTATGCGTTATAAAGTGTAATATTCGTGTTGGTGAAGTGTCTTCGCGGCTCGTGTCGTACGTTATACGACTGCGCCCCTCGGTCGGTTGGGCGGGAGGTGGGATGCAGCCCATTGCATCGGGATTCGCGCAAAAAAAAATTTGTAAGAAATCTTATGCGTTATAAAGTGTAATATTCGTGTTGGTGAAGTGTCTTCGCGGCTCGTGTCGTACGTTACACGACTGCGCCCCTCGGTCGGTTGGGCGGGAGGTGGGATGCAGCACATTGCATCGGGATTCGCGCGAAAAAATAAACTTTAAAATAACTCTCAAGCATTATAAAGTGAGAACACTATAATCAACACTTTATATAGGAGTAATTATCTAAAAGTGCAACATATATAGCTAAATTTATATTAAAATTTAAGCTGAGCTGCCATGCGCTGTGCTCGCGAAAAACGGTAAAAGCGATGTACCGCCAGCCCGCGCAATAATTATGAATGTCTTTTTTTGTCGAATAACCTAAAGCAACTTTTAAAATTGAATTTTAAGCATTACAAATGTGGCAGACAGACTCTCAACGATGCTATATACCCATTTAAAATAGAACATAAAAGTGACTGAAGTTTATATTAAAATTTAAACAGCGCTTTCCTACTTTGCGTTCGAGAAGGCACCACACTGATTTTTTGTGTATCGATAACAAGCTGCACGGGCAGCTGTTTTTTGTGTATCGATAACAAGCTGCACGGGCAGCTGATTTTTTGTGTATCGATAACAAGCTGCACGGGCAGCTGATTTTTTGTGTATCGATAACAACCGGTACGGGCGCGTTAGTTGTGAAATTCTCATTTGTAGAAGGGCCGAAAGTAAACTTTTAAAACATATTTTGAGCATTATAAACATGGCAGACGTCGATACAGCTGAAAAGGATGCGGACAATATTATACGCATAATGGTAGCCACTGACAATCATTTAGGCTACGCTGAGAAGGACACCGTACGCGGCGAAGATAGTTTTACGGCGTTTGAGGAAATACTTGAACTGGCAGTGTCCGAGGATGTGGACATGATATTGCTAGGAGGTGACTTATTTCACGATTCAGTGCCTAGCCAAAATTCGATGTACAAGTGAGTGAACACTATTGATAGAATTTCAATAACTAAATAAACATTACATTCACTTTCAGATGCATTGAATTGCTGAGGCGCTATACGTTTGGGGACAAGCCCGTATCGTTGGAGATATTAAGTGATCAGTCTCATTGTTTCCACAACGCCGTCAACCAGTCGGTTAACTATGAGGATCCAAATCTGAATATTTCTATACCAGTGTTTTCTATACATGGCAATCATGACGATCCCAGTGGTTTCGGTCGATTAAGCTCCTTAGATTTGCTTAGCTCAACGGGCTTGGTGAACTACTTTGGACGCTGGACTGATCTTACTCAGTTGGAGATTAGTCCGATTCTCATGCGCAAGGGCGAAACAAAGTTGGCACTGTATGGACTTAGTCACATTCATGACGCTCGCTTGGTGCGTATCTTTACGGACTTTCAAGTGACCATCAATTGTCCCAAAGAGTCTGAGGAAGATTGGTTCCATTTGATGGTTGTGCACCAGAACCGTGCAGATCGTGGGCCCAAGAACTATCTGCCCGAGGAGCTTTTGCCTGCGTTTCTAAACTTGATTATTTGGGGTCACGAACACGATTGCCGCATTGACCCTGAAGTGAATGCTTTGCGTGATTTCTACGTTTCCCAGCCGGGCTCTTCGGTGGCCACCTCCCTGGCTAAGGGAGAGTCGATTAAAAAGCACGTGGGTCTACTGGAGATATACAAAACTAAGTTTCATCTCAAGCCACTGCCGCTGCAAACTGTGCGCCCCTTTATATTTGATTCTATTGATATTGATAGCATAGCTACAAAATTGAATCTAAAGCAGGGCGATGCCTCTATAAAGGTATGTGATTTCGCCAAAAACCGTGTCGAGGCCATGATCGAGGAGGCCAAAAGCTTGCTAACGGGACACCCAAAACAACCGACGCTGCCGCTGATACGCCTACGTCTGCGTTACACTGACGAGACGCACATGTTCAATACTATTCGATTTGGCCAAATGTTTAGCACACGTGTTGCTAATGTGGCGGACGTTGTAAAGTTTGAGAAGCTAACCAAACGAGCGAATAAGGATAAGATTAATGTAGACAGGGATGCTATGCAGCGCGTAATGGTAGGGAACTTCCCTTTAACTTAAAGTTGCCCTTAAAAATAAACTGTTATTTTAGGAGGTAGACAACACGGCGCGCGTCGAGGAATTGGTAGATCGTTATTTTGAGGAAGTCAAGGATAAAAATCCGCTCAAGCTGCTACACTCAAAGGCGTTGGCGGAGGTTACCTATCGCATGGTAGAGCGCTCCGACAATAATGCAGCGGATCATATTTTCAAGTTTGTTAATTCCCCTACAAGCAAAACTGCAATTTCTGTAAACATTTTAATTGCAGGTTTTACAATGAAAAGGCCGTTGAACATTTAATGGAAACGCTGCCCTCTATTGAGAATATAAATGATGAACTTGAGAATTTTAGGCTGCGGTATAAGGCGGATGATCTACTTAAAATGCTAGATGCTTCTGATCTCAAGACAGGTGCATATGCTTCTACTGCTGGCAGCAAGACGATTAATAAAGATGCGAATTCGTCTCTTGCGCCAAAGCCATCTACTGCCAAGGCTTCTGGGCGCGGTGCTAGTCGAGTAGGTGCCGCGCGTGGTCGAGGAACAGCTGCGTCTACTAGTGTAGCAACAACTCCCGCTAAGCCTAAATTGAATGTGTCCGTTAACACAAGAGTAAGCTCACTTAGATATATTGTATTTTATTCTCGCTATTTTTTTGTTTTTTGCCTCGAACAGAATTCATCGAACGAACCACAAGGGCTTATGGACGCCTATAACAAGGGCCGTAGAAATAAAGGCAAAGTAGTCTACGTTGTATCTGATGATTCCGACTAACAGGTACTTAACGATGTTTTACATTTTACCTTTTATGTCCTAATACACATTTATTATGTTGCCAGACGGCTCGCTACTAATAATCAGTTTCAATTATTCTACATGCATTCGACGTAATTACCAAAAAAAAAAAAAAAAAAACTGGAAATACTCGCAATACGTGTTGGCTATTCTGTTGCGTCTACTTTATATATAAAGAACAATCAGTTTATTACGTACTTTGGAAATATATGTGAAGACCGAATTTCTTCTTTAAAGACCGTGATTTTTTAAACTGCGTATTGTGTATATCGACAAAATTTTGATTTTCTCTGGGATGTATTTCAATTTGCGTTTAGGTGTTATTTGTTGAAAAACAAATTATTTACAAAACTTAATACTTTTTATTATTTTATGCAAACCACTTGACAATAACTGGGTGCTATGTGTCGTGCACCATGTCCCTAATGTTAAGATATATTACACTTAAACATAAAGCTACAATATATGTTAGGGCCTGTCCAATACGCATGAATATCAAGGATGTTCCTCGCTGCGTTCGGTTCGGCTGGGTTCTTTGGTAGTTTAGCTGCATCGGCTTTGACGGATAACGACTTTTAAGCACTAATACATGTACACACACTACCATACGCACACGAAACTTGAATAACGACTGGAGCTCTTTGTCTACTGCTGATGATACTCGTAGTAATACCGATATGGATCCACTGGGGAGCTTCCGCCGGCAGCTGTAACGCCTACGCCGGCATTTGTTTTTGAGACGGGCCGGATGACATAGGTGTTGCGTCTGAAAGTTTTGATTAAGATTGATTTGCAATTCTTGCTGCTTTCGGGGATCAGTTACCTGTTGTGTTCGCCAGCATGCACTTGGAAGCTGGTCTCTTCGCTGTGATCATGTGAAAAGAGCTTCTTAAGCGCTATTATGCCCGCTATGGTGAGGGCCACTTTACTGATTACCAGCGCCTTGCCGGCAATAGCGGCCAGCGCCTTCAGGCCCAGTGGTCCGGCAATGCCCATTGCTGTTAGCAGCGCAGCAATCACATACTTGATGTGTCCACCATCTTTTTGCTTCTTTTTCTTGTGCTCGCGACCGACGCCCACATCCAAATCCAAGTCCATGTCGATCTTCAGCGCATGCGTGCGCATTAGTTTGTCGGCCTTGGCTAGCAGAGCGCGATCGAGGGGCGCCAGGTTACCAAATTGCCGGGCATCGGTGAGCGAACCGATGACGCTGTCGGTCTCGCTTTGGTTCTGCTTCTCAAGCATCAGACCGTCCACGATTTTAATGCTGTCCTGATCCAAAGCACGCGATAAAGCTTGCAGCGCTTTCTTCTTTAGACATCCAATAAAGTCGTTTTTCTCTTGGCATTCTTCGTAAACACGTCGAGCCAAAGTCAGCTCTGGTCCCAGTCCCCAATCGCTGGTGCCTGCCGAGGTCGGAGAAGGATCGGCAATGCTATGCCGGCGCGGTCGCTGGATTTTGGTAGTGGCAGCCTGGACGCCAGCTCCAATGTTGGCGGCACACGCCAGGAGCAGCAACCACTCGAGACGCGTCATTGTAGTGGCGTTGGCGTCTACAGATGTATCTAATTAATATCCCGCTGCAAATCCACTCCACTTGCTACCAAACGCTAGCGATCTTCGAATGCTACTCCAGCGAAAACGCTGTTCGCCCGTTGCTTTTATAAATTGGCCATTTGCTGGGCATTCAAATGGAAAGAATTGGCGTGCGTCAACGGGAGGAGTCTGCCGCAGGGGCTGTAGATTTTAAATGGCTTAAACTGTAGCAGCCACTGGTGTTTTCCAATTAAAATTAGCCATATTTTGTTTTATGCGTTTTTCGAATTTGCGTTTTCTTTAAATGGTATAATCGGCGTTGGAGTTATAGCCTGACATGTATTCGTTATTTGCTCAGCCATGGATGGGATGCTGGTGCTCATTCATGCTCAGATCGCATTCGTGCTGGTGCACTGATTCCGCTGGTCACCAGATAGTTACGCTTTTAAACTTCTCTTGCTCCTCTCGCTGTCGTAAATCTATTTGGATATTCGGGTCTTTTGCGAAAGTCTAAAACATAGATCTCAGTCTAAGTTAAAGATTGATTTTAAAAATAGTAAATCAAAATTTTGGCAGTTTTTCAGAATTCCACTACGAATTCGGATCGATAGCACAAAAAGCCAGATGATGCCAACAACTTTTGAAACTAACAAATCAAAACGGTAAACTGCATCGAAGTGCATCATGAAAATCCAATGCATTTTTATGATGCGTGCCATAGCATAATTAAACTTCCATGCAGCTAGCCATGGTCCCTCCTATCGTTGCTGCTTGTAATTCCATAGACAACAATACATATGAATGAGGATAGAAGCTCGCAGTGAATCGGTTAGGTTAGCCCAATCATACCCACTGCAAAAGCGACGATGCTGTGAGCTGGCTGCACATTTGGTGCAGTGGCCCAGTGGGTGAAATTGAGTTGAGTACAGTTAAAAAATTTTCTTTTCGCTGGCAGCTTGCGCACCGACTGTAAAAATCATGCACGAAAATATCTTATGAGTCTGGTATGCGCAGAGGAAAGCGGCCCCCGGGGAAAGAATCTAGATGATTGCCAGCTGGTGACAGTTATTACTGTATACGTGGTGAAAAGTGTTGGAGACACTTTCGACTGCCAAGATAGTTGCATTTTATTCGATACAATCCACAAATACGTTTGTCTCAAATGCGAAAGTATGTACAAGTTATGGTACACAAGCGTATTTATCTGAGTCGAATTTAAAAAAAATATGTTTTTTATGTCCTTGCAGAGGTTATTATATTTTATCGTGAAAGTAAATTGAAACGCGTAGAAGAAGACATTTCCTATTTTCTGATTAGTATTAACAGTCGAGTCGACATAACCATGTCCGTCTGAGTTATTCTATGGAAACTAGTCAATTAGAGTGCATAATTGGAAAAATGAAACGAGCTCACCTTCATTTGTTTTATATGTATTTATATGTACATATACATACCTATTCTTAGGAATATGCCGAATACTTATATGTAACTCATGTCGGGTGTTCACACATTTTCACAAAAAAACCCTCAAAGTATTTTGCGAAAAGGCATTAAAATAAGATAAATATCCATGCTTTTATATTGTTGAATGTATGTACCTAGTATACCATAAAAACACATCATCTCATAGTTGTAAGGCAGCCACGCACACGAAATCCTGTGCTCAAGAGGGCGTAAATAATTTAATACATCAAGAAAATTGGAAATGAAAGTTTCTTTGTTTTGGCTTGGCCGCAGATAACTTTTAGTTTCAATACTCGTAGATAGTCGAAGCGTGCTGGGGAGACGGGAGAGCGAAAATAATCGTACGATTTATTTGCACATTTTGCGAGTGTGTTCAAGCTCCTTCGAGCTCTTATCGTCAATAATCATCATATGCTCAAATTTTTGGTCGCTTAATTGGAAAATTGTTGTTTCTGTGGCTGCGTAGTGAACATTACGCCTGAGCGATTGGGTGATTGGATAGCCGGATGATTGGATGATTGGTTGAGCTTCTGAGTGCGTTTGATTGATGAGTCGATGGCCAGAGCTGCGTACTGAACGGACATCATTTTGTGGCATTGTTGTGATAATATTTGCTATGCCGCAATTTGATTGGCATGCCGTCCAAGTAGTCAAAAAGTTTCTGGCTCCGATGATACCTCGCGATTGCGCAAAAGCAGTGCCGAGTAGAGGGCTGAGGGTGGAATATCATTTCATATTTCATCATATTTCATAACATTGCTTGGCACAACAGTATGTGGGCGTCAACGAACTTACCGCAAATCTAAAATGGCGCCCAAGCTCAAATCCTTAGGGTTCGGTTCACCACTGGAGCCCTTTGAAGTTTGCTCAGAATGGCGACCGAGTGTGCCTTCACCTGCAGCGCACTTTAGTGTGCACAATGTTGGAAAATGAAAATGGTTTATCAAAAGAAGGCGAAACCACAAAGAAAATCTCAGCGGCAGCTGTACTTACATACATAAATACATACATACATAAAATCATCAAGTCCTCCATTTGCCCGTATCCCGTATCTTCGTCATGTTTGCACCTTTTGGGCCCTTCTTTCTGTATGGCAAGAATGCCGCAGACGACTTTGTTCTATCTCTTAGCTCTTTGGCTCTGTTGACTGCGGTTCGCTCGCAGTTTTCCATTTTCCAATTTCAACAACTACCGGCAAAGTTTTCACATTTTAAATTTTGGTTGGTTTGCTTTTTGTGCTAAGTTTTTTTTTTGTCCTCTTATTTTATCTTTTCTTGCTTTCCGTGCTTAAGGCTTCTCATGTTTTTCGTATTCTAGACTGTTTCCTCCTATTTACTTAGGTGTTGGAGTATTTCCCAACTCCCTAAAATAAATAAAACTACATACTTTTCATCCAAACAATACATTAGTTACGTATACTCCAAGACACTTAAGGTACGGAAAAAATAAATAATTTAATTTGTTTTTAAATAATTGAATGAGGTTTTCCAGCGTTCACTTGTGTATTTTCCTTAAAAGTGTTTTAAGCAAGAAAGAAGGCCAGAAAAGATTGCTTATGTTATAAGATGTTATCTAGTTTAACAAAACGGTATTATGAACATGTGTAAAATGTTCAAAATTATGCCAATGCCATATATTTTCGACTGTAGCTCACATTTGAAATTCATGCATCTCCTACCCGCATTATTTCAATGCAATTTATGAGAGGAAGCTGATGTAAGTTTTTGGCTTTGCATTTGATCAGGCGACAGGTGCCACAAAGCAGGCACTCTACAAAGTCGAATTATAACTAGCATATGGAAAATAGCGAGTTCCTATTTGCAATCTTAACATGTGCCCAACTTCCTGTGGAGTTAGGCTGGAAAAATATTTTGTTTGTGTTGTGGGTGGGTACGCAAAATAAATTGTTGCAAATACAAACAAAAATATAATTTTTGTTAGCTCCCACACAGACGCACATATTTATGGCATGCCGGCACGTACGCGATATATTGCAACCCAATCGATGGTGGGGGTAGGGAGAAAGTATGAGGGGAGGGGGGCCGCAACGGTTTAATTTATTTGCTAAACTTCGTTTATATCCACCAAAAGGAAACAGAACAGAGAACGTCGCCATGTTGAATGTGCGATGGGTTTAGGTCTTGGCTTTGGGTTTACTTGGGGGTTGGTTTTCAGCGCCATAAAAACGTGGCAGGGTCCCAGACACCCAGGCTAGCTGGGGTGCTTCGTGTACTTTGTGTTTGTTATGCTTGTCAAGCAGTTTACGCATGCGGAGAGCCGGGAGTGAGGCGGAGGGCCGTTTGACTTGGATGTCTAACGATATTTCGATTTTGATATCTTTGGGTGTTATCGTTAAATGTTTGCTCGAAGGGCGAGACGCTCACAATGTGCCATGTTGATTATGGTTACATTTTTGGTATTTACTTTTCATTTCATTTTTTATTTCAGGACCATAAAACCAGCAGGCGGTACAAGCTGCTGACAAGACATATTCCGTATTCATCTTTATCGCTGCCTCTCTTCACACTTTCTCATTTTTTTTTGCTCCAACTTAAATCTTCTGCTTAATCGCAACAGTTCGAATCATGTGTGTGTCTTTTAAATTGGCACTCAAATGTGTCTGGACCATTATATATATTCCACGAAACTAAAACATTGTCTTGGGTAGTTTCAAACTTAAATATGCATGTACATGGCATATATGTTACCTTTTTTTTGACAAGGGTCTCGGCTGCCCTTCAACTGTCATAATTAAAGCTGGAGCAAAACCTTCCGCCTTCATAATTGCCCAAGTATGAACAACTGCGCCTGCGGCTGCTAAAGTCTAGACTAAAAAACTCAAAATTGAGTGCATGATTTGACAGTTGGCACTTGATTGGCACAGAAAGTTGGAAGACTGTGAAAAATACATACTAAGTTAGACATATACTTGTAGCTCTAATCGTTGGGTGGAATCACTTTTATTCAAACCGTTTTTTTGTTGTTGCACATAAGACAGGAAGCTGCCAAAACAAACCGTTATTGGTCGATAAAAAGTCAATTAGCATACGGGTTACAAAGACACTTCACACATATGTCCGATCAGGCCTATTCTCAGGAAGGAAAGGGAGCGCTTCGAATGGAGCTGTGATAAAGCGGCAGCGACACAAGATCAGGCGAGTCACGACTGCTCATTTTGTGATTAATAAGGCTTTTAGGATATTTTATTAAAATGCATATTCGTTGCTCAGATGTCATTTGCGGCCGTCGGCGAATGTTTATGATTTTCATAAACGCTGCGGCCATTTGCCATCGACTTGGTTGCATTTGCATTGCTGCCTCTGATGGCTACCACATCGTGACGTTGTTTTGGTTTTGCTGTTCTTGTACCGCGCCAACGTTGTACGTCATAAATTGTCACCGCGTGGCGAGTGGCAGACCCGACTGCGAGCGCAACCGCAACCGCAAGATGTTGGCTCAGAACGGGCAAAGCTGCGACCGTGTCAGGTGAAGATATTGTATCTGATCGCTGTGCCCGCTGCGGGTCATAAACAAGCGATGCGTGGATGTGGTGCGCGATCCTGGGCGACTTCTTTTATTTTTTCTTTCTTTTGACTTTAATTAAAGCAGTTGCTTGTCTTAAGTTTTGTATCTCGATGGCATGCAAGCACCGCAACCAAAGTAGAAGGGGCAACAATGAGCAAAGCTTTTGGGGCTTAGTATTGGATTCGTTTATCGGTTTATTTAAATTTCTTTGGGGTTTATATTTATGCCTATAATCAGCACATGGAATCCCGTTAAATCGCCTCATAAGGCAGTTCGCCATTTTCCTGCTTATCAGCAGCAGCTGCCCCGCCCACAAAGCAGGGCTGAGTTTTATTGTGGCGCACAGAAATTGGATTTGTAGCAAACACACACACACACACCCACACACACAAAGCGAGAGATACGCATGTATAGCTTGTGTACATATGTATTTCAGTTTATGGCAACTCATATCTGACAGATATAAAAGCACACACCCACTCAAACAACACAACCAAAAACTGCCGCCATTTT